ACAATGTGAGCAACTGGATTGAACTTTGCCTCGTAGCTCCTCTCTCTCTCCTGCAAAAATGTGTTGCATATGAGCTTTTTTGGGTTTTTCTAGCAAATAGGAGCGGATAAGCGTAGGTAAGCAAAAATGTAATTGTTTTCAGCGCGCACACCTTTAAAATGTGCATTGTAAACAGACTCAAAAGTTCGCTCGCTGCCGTCCAATTTAGGAGGTTTCAGAAAATGCGTAGATGTATATTTTCTTACTTAATCGACAATTGCATTTTTTTCGAGGACTACTTACTTCAAATTGAGCAACACTACCTGCAAACATTCCTCAGCCCTAATCTTAATGCTTGTGATTAACTGCAACTAACTGTCTTTTTCCGGTTCAGCCCACAGCCCATTCTCGCAGTGCAGTTAGCGGTTCCGCTGTACTGCGCTGCGAGAATCTCCCCCCCCCCCCTTCCATACTATGGACGACTTTCCTGGGAATTCACCTCACCCCGGGACAGATGGATAGAAGGACCTATTGATCCTTCGCAAAAGGGAGCTTGTAATCTGCGCTGGGGTCGAAAATCACCTGTATCACCTGTATCCCCGTTGATCATCGTGTTGCACGAGCGGGTACCAGTGATGCCTCCATTCGTCCCTGTCTCGGACGATTGTTGACCAATGTTTACGTATCGCGCCAGGAACACGTGGAACGCTCTGAAGGACTTCATTAAAGGACTTCGTGAACATATCTGACCATCGCGTCGGCGGTCTTCCTCGTTCGCGTTTGACGTCCAGTGGTATCCAATCTGTTACAGCTCTCGTCCACCGGTTGTCGTCGAAACGCATTACGTGCCCAGCCCATCTTACAGTCTGCCCCAATCCTAACCAGGCCAAAATTGGCTTGGCGGGAGTGCGCATCGCGAGGGTTTCGCGCCACTTCTGCGTCTAGCTAGTCTGCTCTCTTCTCAATCTCTTCGCTGTCTGCGACAGCGCGCGTATGCAGCGCAAACCCCTAGCGCTGCGAACGCGCAAATTCAGCCGACGATTCGGCCTGGTCCCGATTGGGGCAGACTGTATCTTGTTCTGCTTGGCGTACGCGGCAGCGTCCCTGATCTTCGATCGTTGACGTAGGGTAGAACTTCGTAATCCTTGCCTCACTTGCGTGAGTCGATTCACTCCTAGCATCACTCTCTCAACAGCTCGTTCGATGACGCTAACCGCGTGTTCATCCTGCTTTCTCATTGTCCATGTTTCTGAAGCGTACGTCAAAGCAGGAAGAACCGTCGAGTTGAAAAGGTGGGCGCGGAGCCGGATGTTGTTGGTCTTCTTCACTACGTCCTCAATTGTCTTATATGCTCCCCATGCTGCACGTTTCCTCCTGCTCAGTTCCGGAGCTAGATCGTTCATCATATTGAGTTCACGACCTAGGTAGGTGTAGCTTGAGCATTCGGCGATGTTCGTCCCGTTGAGCATGAAAGGAGCATCAGGCACTCTTCCTTTCCTCATGAACATCGTCTTCGTTAGATTCAGCCGTAGACCGATCTTTCCACTCACTTCGTCAAACTGGGCCAGCATTTGTTCCGCCTGCGTGATGCTTGGTGTTATCAATACGATGTCATCAGCAAAGCGAAGGTGGTGTAGCTGCCGGCCGTCGACTTTCACTCCCATGTTGTCCCATTCCAACTTACGCATGACGTTCTCCAGAGCGGCACTGAATAGTTTCGGCGATATAGTATCGCCTTGTCGCACGCCTCTCTTCAGGTCAATGATGATGTCCTTGTAGAATGGTGTCATGGTGGTTGTGAAGTCGTTATACAGCTCACGAATTATCTTGATGTAATGAGTCGGAATACCTTGATTGCTCAAGGCATCGATGACGGCTTCAGTCTCAACCGAGTCAAAGGCCTTCTTCAAGTCCATGAAGGTGAGACAGAGCGGCATCTTATACTCTCGTGACACTTCAATGAGCCTTGACACCGTGTGTATGTGGTCGATCGTGCTGAATCCTCTTCGAAACCCAGCTTGCTCGCATGGTTGTCCTTCGTCCAACTCTCTTCCGATCCTGTTGAGAATGACTCGCGTAAAGAGTTTGTAGACTACAGACAGCAAGCAGATAGGGCGATAATTGCCGATGTCGCAGGGATCTCCCTTCTTGTACAGCAGCACGGTTTTGCTGGTCTTCCATTGCCTTGGAACCTTGCCTTCCGTCAGGTACCGCGTGAAGAGCTTTGCCAAAGTCTTGATGAGAACTGGCGAAAGATTCTTCAGATGTTCTGGCTTAATCCTGTCGGGACCGGGTGCTGTACGGTTTTTCATCGACATGATAGCATGACGAATCTCGGAAGGAAGAACAGACAGTGCGACATACTCGTCCTCCTTGAGATGGCATGGTGGAAGGTGGACGTGGCTCGCAAAAAGATCCGAGTAGAAGTCGTGGATGACCTTCTCCATTGATGTTCGGGAAGCAGTTATGGTTCCGTCAGGACGACGAAGTGCGGTCATCTTTGTCTTGAAGTTGACGAAGCTTCGGCGGGCGTTGCGTATACTTCTTCCAGCCTCCGCGGCGTCAACCATCCCTGCTACTCTTCTCTCCTTAAGGTCTTCTTTTATCGCTTCTCTGCATCGCTTCGCAAGCTCGGACGTCAGTCGGTAGTTGCCTGTGGCTCGTGCGCGTCCACGTTGGCGTATCAGCTCCAAAGTCCTCGTGGTGAGACGCCTTCTCGTACTTCTTAGACTCTGAGCTTCCTTGGCACAACCGTGGAGATGTTGTACGAACCGTTCGTATTCTTCGTCGATGTTGTCCATCACGGTATCTCGCCATGAGCCGGATATCGAAGAAAACAGATCCCAGTTGGTGGTATTCATGGGACGATGTTTCCTGAACTTGACGGCTCTCTCTCCATTCCGCGGAAAGTGGAATTTGGCGCGCAGGAGACGATGGTCTGATCCCGTGTAGAACTTCGGAACAACAGCGACGTCCGTCAGGCAGTACCTTCTGTTGACGATGATGTGGTCAATCTCGTTATGGTACTCTCCACCGGGCGATTCCCAGGTCCAGCGTAGGGAAGAGGGCTTTTGGAACTGTGAGTTTCCATGGATAGTCCTCGTCATCATGATAAACTCGGACAGTCTCTCCCCTTGTTCGTTCCACTGCAAACCATGGGTTCCGATGTGAAGTTCCTCAGTCGACCTTCTAGTTCCGATCTTCGCGTTGAAATCACCGACGATGATCTTGTAGAAGGTATGATCTTCTCTGTAGAACTTCTCCAAGTCCATATAAAATATTCCTCGAGTTCGTCCTCGTCGTAGCTGGATGTTGGGGCGTACGCAATGAAGACGGTCAAGGCAGGGATTGATCCACATCTTGATATTCGCAAACGTCCGATTCGAGTTGTAAGTTGTTCGAACGAATCGATGTTCATGGCCAAACTCGTGTTGACAAGGACTCCCACTCCACCTACTCCTCGACTGTCGCATGTTCCTAGAAACAGTTCTTCTCCAGTCTCAAATGTGGCGTTCAGCGGGTGGTGCCTCCTTGTCTCGGTCAGTCCGATGACGTCGTACTTAATCTTCCTTGCTTGCATCATGAGATCTTCGATAGATGCGTCCGATGCCAGCGTCCTCGCGTTGTAAGTACAGATCGTCATCATAGTCCGTCTCGTTTTCGGCAGCCTAGATCGCCTTTCAAACCTTGTCCCCACTGGCGCTGCCTTACCAGTGGCTCTTCCAAGATTTAAGGAGCTTTCCATATTATCACTGTGTCGAACAAGAATTTACTCGCAGGGATAGCTTGTTGGGCTCAAAACCCCCGCGAGGGACGATCGGAGCTTATTTGTTGAAGGCGACTCCGAACTCGCCTCCCCACACACCTACCCGGGAAATTAGGGCGCAAGCTTTTAGTGGAGGCAGGGAGTCCGTCCCCCGGCTCCGCTTGCTTATCAGAGCAGGCGCGGGGTCGCTTTTGGTCGGCGATTATCCCCCTATCCGCCACCTGGGGACGCCTCACGTAGCCTCGCGACTAACCGGCTGTGATCCCTCTATGAGGGAGATTTTTATCCATGTCTAGAGGGGTCGAAAATATGTGTGCCAAATTTTAGCTTAAACGATTCAGCCGGCCTCGTTTCTAAAGAGAGCAAACGAAGAACCGGAACCTTACAGACTCTGATTTTTATCCATGTCTAGAGAGTGCAGACTCTCTTGCCTGACCAATTTGTTATGAAACAGTTTTGTAGCCGTGTCTGGTACAGCGTGTTTAACCCAATGACAACAATGTGGACCACCGGTAGCTACACACTTTTTGCCACCAGGGACGATGTGGACCAGCGGTGGCCCACACCCCTTGCAAAATCACGTCTTTTCCAGGTCTAGTATCTTCTCCACAGTTCAGTATTCTTTCCAATTTTTTGTACTGTCGGAACCCGTAGACTCTGCCGTCCAAGAAGATGATTGTAGTGGATTACAAAACAAGTTTACATTTCGTAAATAATCACAAATTTTTCCCATGCCGAAGGTGTTGTGCAAAATCGCATCGTCCCACAGCGCCGCCCACGCAAAATTAGGCGTCGTCATCAATGGGTTAAACTACTGTCTATGCGATGTAGCAAATTTGCACGTGTATCAACATAATACATGCAGTGCCGCCAAAAAGTTGCGGACAAACCGTCCTCCTTTTTTTGTCACTCATTTTCTGATGGAAAACAGGATGAAGACACGATCAGTTTGTAGATGATAGAGCATTTCAAAAACTACAACCCACATATTACGCTTTTTGGAAAACATGGATGCTAATGGCGTTAGGAACTTTTTACCAAAAAACATCTACCTTACCTAACTTAAGACTTGCCTTCCCCTTTTACCTTTTTTTACCTTTACTGAGGCCATGGGTGACCATTACACTATTCAGTCATTTCATATAAAAGACTCGTAAGATACAGTATGATTTCTTGCTTAGAAGGACTTTTGAGCACTCGTAGTCCTTCAAAAGACAGCTGCGGATCGGAGGTGATAAATAGCTGCTCTTGTCAGAATCATCAAGCCAGAATGTGGCACACACACATACAGAATGTGGCGAGAAAGACTTGGTTTTGCACCGAGCTCTACCCATAAGAATTAAAACGGTGGGTTGCTTCGAAAATGAAATTTCAATGCATTCTCAACACTAATAACTGTCTTTGGCTTAACAGAGTCTTTTAGATGTACAAATGTGAGGAACAACGTCTAATAACAATGGCTCCACCATTCCGCGGATTTTCAGCGCTTGTCCGATTTCAATGTCGAGCACGACTCCATCATGTTCAGAAGATCAGCGCCAAAGGTTCGCAAGTGGCTGTACAAATTTCAATCGTTTTAAAAATCATTTTTTGAGAAGGGATTTTTAATGTCCTAGTTACAGAACTGGAAGCGCACTTGATGGAAAAAGAACAGTGCAAGTGAAAGAAGTTAATAATATGCATTTTCGATTGTTAAATTGTGTTTATTGCTTTTTGCATGTAAAAGAGCTGTTTTGAAAACTATGTAGCGAAGAATGAATTTTCAATGACCCTTTTATAACCAGTTGCGAGCTGCCTCATTCTCAACCTGTCTAGGGACTTAGAGCTTTCTTTGTCAAAACAGGTATTATAGGTATACATACTTTATTCGGTGTAACGTTTCGGCATCAATACCTTCCTCAGAGGCCTAGAAGTTAAGTCATTCACCATTATCTTACGCTCTACACGGTCACTCTCCTTCAAACATGGATGTTCGATTCATTTTAAGTGAACCTCAATGAGCCTCCAGTTCACGAACAACTCACCAAGGATCACGCTGACAACACGGTGCGAGGGCAGTGCTTAGCGTCACGCACAGATGATGGAAGTATAAACGCAGTCCCAGTAGGGATCTGCTTATATAATGTGGGCGTTGTTGCTGGCACTACGGTAGGAACAGCATGAGATTACTTGTGATGAAGACTTGTTCATTTTTGTCATTCGTTCTGGATTCTCCCTCGATAGAATGAATGACGCTTCGAACGCTTTGCGAGCGGATATTTTACTTTCTAAAGCTAGGACTGTACACTTAACATTGAAATCATTGCCGCAGTGATCAACTTTCTTGTGTTTTCTCAAGAAATTCTCCATCACTTCGGGAGTGATCACTGTGTTTCCTGTGTCTGGGGACTGTTGCTGGAGAAAACGCACAAATTGATGGGAGGGAGTACACTACTAAATTGCTGATGCGGTTCGCGCTAACACAGTTTGTTTAGCGAGTGCGCACGTCCGGAATAGACTTTGATGCTGTGATACTATTTGTAATAGGGCCTGATTTTGTAGATCGCATAACTATAATATAAGCGCGACTTCTTGACACAGATAACAACTCCTTAACACAGGCAGCGCTAATGCAGGTATTTGATCCATTACCCATTCAGGCAACAATTGCATTAGTTGGCTCGTGTATCCAAGTCTCAGAATAGAAGGTCCAAGAATATTGAAAGACTGAAGCATGTAAAGTATTGCATGACTATCAAGTCTGACTACCCTAATTTCACGAGAAGACGCACTCGGTTTTTTTTTGAATTTGACCATCCTGAACACACTATGAAATTTTGCGTCTAACGGACGCTCTCCGTGCTGTTCCTAGCCTGAAAGGATTGTCTGGGAGAGCGACCATTTTGCGAAGCAAGTGTGGCCGAGCTGCTTGCTTAAAAGTGAGAAAGCTGCGTCCTGTATTCGAAAATGGGGTTTATCTCAAATTCAGTAGGAATTTACATCAGATCAGTCTTGAACTATTTAAAAGCTTGCATGGCATGCAATAGTACAAGGAAAATTTATTTCCTTCTGCAAAATAGTGCAAAAAAGATTCGCCTGAAAATTAGCAGCAGATGTGTGTGCATGAATTCTTTCTGAAGTTTCTGAAGTCGAATAGATTTGCAACATCAGGGGCGGTATGCATCAATCTCCCGTTTTGAAAGCGGGCGATCATTTTCAATAGAAAAATGATTGCCCGGCCGGGTTGGCCGCAGCTTCATACATTACGGGTCGGGTGGCCAACCCGGCCGGGCGGTCATTTTTTTTATTGAAAATGAGCGCCCGCTTTCAAAACGGGAGATTGATGCATACCGCCCCAGATCATTTTGCAGCAAGCATATCCTAGGAGAGCTTTCTACGTAAACAAAACCGCTTGAATTACTCACATACCTGCATGCGTCACCTCGGATTTTCTTTTTTTGTCGATTGCTGTTTTTATTCGATAAAACATAATTGAGTATCACTTGTGTCGTGCTCTACTTAGATTTCTTCCGCAGTCCTTATGAGGACTGTCTATTCGTCGCGTGTCGGAAAAAATTAACACGTTTTGTTTTAGTTAATCATGTTTTCTGAGCATCATTACGAAGTACGAAAGCATTTCCAACATTTCTGAGAACAAAACTGTTGAGATCTTCTTATAGAAGCAAAGCAGGCCGGAATGGTCATCAAAACATCTCAGTCGCTTTCAGCAACGATTCAAACATCTTCCTCTCTAAGTTGTTTCTTATGCGAATTTAGCAAAAAAGTCTCCAAATCCTTCGCTATCCCTTGTAACGCCGCTTAGATAATGGAAATTAGCGCTCTTCCCTGTTTTGGGTAGATCTATTAGGTTGTAAAGAAAATTACGGGGCACTTGCGAATTTTTTTCAAATCGCTGTAACTTCGAACAGATTGATCCTTTTCAGAGCTACAAATTCATTGCGAAGAGAATTTCGTCTCAACATATATTTGTCACCAGTGCGTCACCTCTGCTTCGCAGAGGCTCGCACTGGTCCTACTTCATATGCCTTACTCATTCTTGACTAATGATGGCAATGAAACTCACCGCGCGGTGCCGATTATCGCGAGTAAAATGTAAACAACTACCCATTCCAAATGCTTTTTCATGTGAGATCGGTGATTTCGCTTGGATGAAACTTTTTGCAGAAGAACAAATACAAATTTGAGTAGGTTTTTGGACTCTTTCTGGTTTGATAGCTGCCATGAGGACAGTAGGCAACGTGAGCTACATCTCTGTGCAAAATTTTTCTCGAATGCTTAGGTAAAACTGTGGCAAATTAACCATTTACGGAACCATTTCATTTGGCGTCGTTCTCGTAAAGTAGTAAACTTTTGTCCACTTTTTTGGACTAAAGTTCATGGCTTGCACATCAGCATGCCAAACACATCCCCGACCTTGCAAAAGGTGGTGAAACGGAACCCATTTTGCTGGCCAGAACCCAAACGGTTCCGTTTGACGCGCAGTTTTTGTGGGATCCACCCAACAAAATCGCTCGTGTTTTTGCACGGTAGACTCTTATGTTGGTCGCAGGCGATGTGCAAAATTTGGGCTCAGGACGTTGGCTGGAACACGCTCTACGAATTTCGTTACAGACAGACACACAGACATACACACACGCACACACACAAAAACACGTAAACATCCTTAGCCCGTTATTATAAGTTATGATGCTGGCTTTCCAGCACCTCATAGCGGTCCACTAGCATGCGCATGTCCACCTCATAGCGGTCCACCAGCGACCCAAAAATGAACCATTTTTCGCGTAAGTTATTTTGAGGTCTTTTCGTTCTGCACAGAGCGGACCAAACCTTTGATTACTGCGAACATTGTTGGGATAATGTCTTACACATCTTTTGGACCCATCACTCAGGGCGCGGCGATCCTTGCAGAAGCGAGTCAGCTACAAAAAGTTGCAGTCAGAGGCAAGATCAACAGCTTGCAATTTCTGAGCGCAAATCGCAGAACTCGAGTGCAGCTGCGGGTCAGGAGTTAACAGGTTCCTCAATCAGATCACCCGCGATTTGGACCAAATTCTTTAAACTGCACAGAAAATGGCCGCAAGAAGAAAAATTGCAAAATTTTTATAGTTGGAAAGATGTCTTGGCATCGATAGGAATCAGAAGCAGTATTGAAAGGTTTACGCTTCGCTCTACTGAACACTATACAACACTTGGTGTCAAAGTCCTACCGAGCGCCAAAAAATGCGTTTGAATATGAAACTTTCAAAAGTGGCCCGGAATTTTCTTTACAGCCTAATAGTATGTTTCCTTAGAAATAGAATGACGTTATCAGAATGAGAATAGGTCCCTATCAACTGCCAAACAAAATCTTTTGGACATGTAGATGACCTGTCTTTTTTTAATTGGGACTGACTTTAGTGTAAGGAAAGAAGCAGTATTTTGAAAGCGTCCGAAAAATAGAAAGGTAATACTTTTCAATGATAGTGTTTTATAACTTTTCAATGCATGACTGTGTATTATATCTACAGCTTGTGCTTCAAAAGATTTTCCGGATTAAGCTGAAAGCAACAACATGAAGCCCAGTAAATCCAAACTATAGCTCGAGTTTCATAAAAAAAACTTCAAGAAGATAGAGTTGCTAAGGGTTGTTTCAGACTGCCGCACTGACCGCAGCAGACTGCAGCAGACTGCAGCTGACCACAGTAACCGCGGGGCCGCACAGATCGCTACATCCTTTGAAGGTGGAGAGGACAAACAGTTGTAGCTGAAACAGTCTCTTATCAATATATGCCCCAACAGACGACCCCAGCGGGAGTAAAATATGTATATGCAATGACAAAAGGAATCTGAACAAATATGAGCATATTAAAGAAAAACAATCGCCAAATTTGATTGAGAAGAGTAAGTTAGAACCTATGAACTTTCTGGGCCTAAATCACGGTGTTTTGATGTATTGTATTCGTAACTACTTTCTCTTTTACCAAAGGTTGCAACGATTGTATGGCCGTTGCAGTGCAGTGCGGTCAGCTGCAGTCTGCTGCAGTCTGCTGCGGTCAGTGCGGCAGTATGAAACAACCCTAAGAAAGTGGGGAGCAGGGACAACATTTTTGGATGGGCGAGCCTAGTCTCATTCATAAAGGATTCATGGCAGCGCTCCCCACCCCCCCCCCACCCCAATTATTCGCCTACGGTAGACATCAACGGGTTGATGCAGAAGTAATGAGCATTTCTTATGCGACATATTCCATAAAGCAAAGCAGCTCTACAGAGTTCCCAAATTTTCTTACCCTACCTCAAGAATGGGAAGCCAAAATCAAAAATCGATCACTCCAAAATCGGACTTTCACCAAAAAATGTTGCATTTTCCGCTTGGTCATGACATAATGAGCATCATGACTTATAATAAAGCGCGTGTCTGTCTGTGTGTGTGTGTTTATGTCTGTCTGTCACGAAATTCATAGAGCGTTTTGTAGGCAAGGTCTTGAGCTGAAATTTTGGTCATGGCACCCCACCAGCATGTAGGTGAAAAGTGCAAAAGCACAAGCTGGTCCGATATTTGGGACCTTTAAAAACTGCGCGTCAAACGGGCCCACGCGGCTTTTGGCACGCAAAACTAGGCCACTAATTCAACTTTTTGCTAAGTCATGATTTGCCTGACAAGTACATCTGCGCCTCAGGAATTCTAGCCCAAAAAGTGCTCAAAAAGTTTGCTTTTATGCGGCAACAGCGCCAAGAAGTGGTGATGGCATAGACAGTCGATTTGGCAAGGTTTTACCTTTAGACTTGGA